TTTAGAGGCGAAACGAATCACGTACATTTAATTAATAAACAATTACTCCAAAGACTTTTTAGTTTTTCCTTTTTATGAGTTATGGTCAAGATTGATTGATTCATTGAGGAAATTATAGAAGATCGCGTATTAATGCGATATTCCCGCCAGCGCCGATGGCCGGGAATCAATGCTGGCGCCGTAGTTCGTCAGACAGTTCTTTGATGCGTTGGGAGTTTCGGTCCGCCTGCCTTTGCGCCTCTACCAATTTGGCGCAGGTTTCCAGCGCCTGCTCGGGTAATTCGCAGAACGCGGAGTGGTGACCTTCCTTTTGCAGTAGAACCACTTCATACGGTATCTACGACAGATGAAATTTCCTGGACATTGCTCCAAGCAGCGAACGCATTTCTTCTGATGTTGCGTCTTTCCTGCCCCGATCTTACCTGGATGCACGCATCCGCACGGTGGGACCCGGTTGCCAGGCAGAAGGCGCAAGAAATCGGCGGGCGTTTCAGGGCTACCGATCTTGGGAGTCCACCGCCGTGGCGTCGCGGAGGACATGTTGGAAGACTCATTAAGTCCTCCATAATCCTGGCTAGCTGAGTTGACGCTCTACGTTACTCGCATAGCTCCGCTTCTATGACGTGCCTTAGACGATGGAGCTGGCACCACCTCTTGGCTCATTTCCTATTTGAACCGCGCGCGGGGCCCTTCGTTACTCATGTCTTCTTCCTCTGATTGTGGTTCTTCTCTCTCATGTTTTTCTTCCTCATCCTCTCTTCATGAAGTTCCTCCGGCTGGTCCTGTTCGTGTCGTTGTTGCGCGGAGGCGCTTCTCCCGGACTGGCCTACGAGTTTGTCCACGATTTTTTTTATTTTCTTAAGTGCGTTTCTTACCTCATCGTGGAATGAGAGGTCTTCATGTAATTCTTCCAACTCAAATGACTCGCAGAGGCCTGATAAACTGGCGCTGTAGCTATCGAGAGTTGCCATCAGCTCTTCTGTTTCTATTTTAACCTTGTCGGGGTCGGTTAACGGAAGTTTCTTCTCGTCGTTGGAAAATGGTCGAGCCATCCATTCGTCCCGAAGCGCCTTTGTGTTCGCTCCAGTGGCGAAGAGTAGTGGAGGTAAAGCCAGTAATGTGGTCAAGTGAACTTTGGTGGTAGCCAGGCGTATGCGTAGGTTTTCGATGGTGAGCGAAATGATAGAAACACGATGTGCTATGAATTCCAGCGACGTTTGCGGTTGGCGTATAATTTGGATGTGTCTGAATATGGAGGCGACTTTTTTGGCGCATCTGTCGACTTCCAAAAATTCGCTGACTAACCTCGCATGCGTTTCCAGCGGTGATGGAAGCGTCGGAATGGCCTGGCACAGTCTCTGCAGCTGTTCTCTAGTTTCTTGCAGTTCTTGAAGTTGTCCCAAGTCTGAAATTGATGTTGCTTTTTTATTGATAGGGCGTCTCTTCCGTCGGCTTGTACATTCAAGAATTTTCGGAGTATGGGTATACGTGTATATACATGTTTTTTTTGACAATTTTCTGGAACGGTGTCGTCGATCGTCCAAAGTATTTTTCTTATATTTGATTTGCTTCCTCCTGTAGAGTTTTATGAGGGCGTATCCTATCATTCGGACTGCGCGTGGTGGGATACAAATGATTGCCCACAAGAGCCGGAGAACTATTTTAAGGCCTATCCCGAGAGTACTTCCGTATAGGTAGATCATTCCGAGAACCAGTGCGGCTTCATAATTAGCATAATGATGGAGGTTTTATACCAGGTCAGGAAGATGTCCATTATATGGCTAAAATCCGGCCATTCGAAGTCGTTGAAAGTGGTGCTGTTCGACTTCAATGACATCAGATCCGGGTAATGGAAGTTATTGACGTAATTAAGCGTTCCCCTCAGTGCAAACTCATTTTTTGTTTGGCCACATGACATTGTGCAGTGTGTGAGTTGTCGGGCTGAGTCAAGGTGAAGTCGTAATTCTGATTCTGGCGAGCACAGGGAACCACGGATATATGCGAGTCGCATAGCACCTAGAGTTCTTTTGATGATGCATATCGAATTTCTGAAGTTGCTCCACCTGCACAACGGTAGCTCCCTGAAGTAAGGTGTCGTCCACCGAGCAATCGCCGCCTCCTTGTTTAATGACGGTTGTGTCCCATATTTGGTGGAATTCAACAATGATTCCGAATGACACCATATGGGGTATTTTAGCAACTAGTGACGTATTCTGCTGATATATCGGAGCTCCCAGAAGGGTGTCTTCTTCGGTATTTCGAGCTTGAGTTGGTCGAAATCTCTGGTGATATCTGACGTTGTACATTGGCAGGATATTTTGAATCCAGCCGGAGCGCAGTTACAGTCATCGGTAGGATGCACTTCATTCGTTTCGCTTTCTCGTGATTCACAGAGCACATTTGGAGAAACGGCGCCTGTCCATACTGCAACATCTTGTCCACCGGTGAAGATCGTGGTGCNGGGGGGGGGGTCAATGTTATTTGAAGGGGCGGTAAGGTGGTGGTTGGTTCATAAGGTAACAGTTGAACGACGTAGCTTTCTTTACCGAATCTTTAATCTTTACTTTCTTTACTTAAATCTTTACCTTCTTTCTTTGCCTTTGATGTTCCCTATGGTGATTTCAAGGGGCGGAAGTGGTGCAGTGGCAAGTGGCGCACTATATCACACGCACGGTCAGGGGTTCGAATCCCGGATCGATGCGCTAGGCAGCGTGATCGCCTAGGCCAACCAAGCTTTCCATCCCTCCGGGGTCGGTGAGTTGGTATCGGATTCGTCTGGGAGGATAAAAGCACTGACTTGTACATCGGCTGGCCACCGCAAGTCATTGTATAGGCCACATACGCACTCATTACCCCACTACGATTCTGAATGGAAGTCGAGTGCGGGGGCGCATCCCTCAGACGGGATTGATTAACGCCGAAAACTTTATCCTTTATCCTTTTATGGTGATTTCAAACATGGTCTTCTCGCGCCACCGCATACATCGGAATATCTCGAGAAATGTGTTGTCCGCTGGAGTGGTGAAAATCCGTTGAAATAAACAACCAGAGCTGGGATAAAAACAGTAGCAGCCAAATCCACCACAAGTGGTGGCCGCGTTTTAGCTCTGGAATGATGCTGGCGCTGTTGATGCCTGCGCACTTTTCTCCCGTACAGGAGCCCATCCGCGGGCATCGTTTACAGTCTGTCACGTTCAAGTGGATGGAGTGAGTGAAATATAACGTCTCCTGGTCACAATGGAGGTACGGTCTTCCAACGTATTCTTATATTGAGCACCAGCGTCAAATTTCTCACGAGTAGTAGACAGCTTGCTGTCGAAAGCTAATGATTTTCAATACTTCCGAAAGTGAAGTTTTGCATATTTCTTTGCCGTTTTCTTGCGTGCACGTGGTAAGACTTTGTTCGAGAACTGGAACTGGCAACTACGGGTGGTCTGAATCAGATACAGGAGAGCGAGATCTGTAGCTAGGGCTGAAAACATACGGGTGTCATATCTCCCTTACCCTCGTCGCCGATTGCATCGTAACATTTGAATATAGAAGTAGTTTAAGGGACTGACCTGTCGTGATGTCAGGAGAGTCTCTTAGTCTTCTTGGGGTGGTTCAGTGTATAACTCCAAAACAGCCGAATTCCTTGCGCCAACACGATAACACGATAAAATATCACCAATTTATTGCAGCGTGGAACTCGAACAGCTCGACCTCAAACTTGGG